TTTTTAGTACTGCTGGGGCTTGAAAGCAATTGGCGGTGGTCATGTGAGGAGAGAGAGAGAGAGACAGAGAGAGAGAGAGAGAGGTGTAGGTGGAGGTGTGGGTTCACTTCCCCTTCACTGCATTTTAGAAATTAGAATAGAATCTTCTTGGCTCTTCCTCTTCACTCTGCGTGTAAGCGAGTTGGTGGTAGTGGTGGGCTTTAATTTGTATGGTCTGTGAAAGTTGCTTCCGGACAACTTGTGAAGCTGCCTTTGTCATTAGTTCAGTAAACAGTGGGCCTCTTTTTCTCTCTCTCTCTCTCTCACCATACACTAAACACTTATAGGGAATAGGGGAATAGGGATGGATGGACTAAGCTGCCTAGCTGAGGATAGAAAAATTTAAAATATATAGAGATGAATTACTTTGTATGATATATATATATATATATATATATATATATATATTGTGTGTGTGTGCGTGTGAGAGAGAGAGATAGCATCACTGAGCACATGCACATCTAGCTATCAGATTAGTCAAATCCATGGACCCATTTCCTCGATGCCTTTAATACGTTAAATTACAAGGAGAATTCGGAATTCACACCAATAGAATGACACCAGCAACTGCTAGCTTGATGAAATATGAATGACCTACCTATATAGTTGTAAGTTGTCCCTCCCTTTCCTCACCAGTTATGTCTGTATTGTACATGTACATGTTTTTAGTGTAGTCCAATCCATGGACACCCTAACCCCCACCCCCTCTCTATGTTAGGAAAATGGAATGGATGGTTGAGATTTGATGATATGATGTAGGAGCTGTGCATTTATTGTAGGGACTAGGGAGTAATGAAACAGATGGTGCTTGGAGTGGTGAGAGAGATAGTTAATATACAAACAACAAGGATCACGAGAATAGTATAAACAAAACCCATCAAGGAGACTGTCCCCTTGTCAGCCGCTGCCGCTGCATGTCTGTAACATCGCAGTGGGGCAGGGTGTGGTGTGTGAAGAAGTCTGAACTGGGAAAGAAGGTGGGAGAAGGAAATAGAAGGGGAAGAGGAGAAAAGGAAAGGAAGTTTTAGAAGGTTTTGATATCAGACTCTCAGACTGGCCGTCGTGGCCGGGAACCAAACTTTCTAATATATTTATAATTGAATATCGGGACTTGAAGCTTATCACATGCCTTATATTTTTCATCTAATGCATTATCACGTGCATGATGCAATGTCTCTGTCTCTGTCTCTCTCTCTCATATTGTTTTGGAACTTGGTTTCAAATCAATTGGCTTATTTTGTTTTGTTTTTTTCTCTGTGTTCTTCCTTTAACATAGTAAAAGAAAAACTATTTATGGGGTTGTATTTGTATCCCGCCACAAACAAGGTAACAAGAGTCAAGACATGGGGATATATAATACTATCTATATCATGTAGCAGCAGTAATAAAGGAGGCGGGTGGCGTCAGGGAAACTCTCAGTAAAATGTTCATTAACATGGTTCTATGTTCTACCAGAATTGAGTAGCCCAGGTTCCCTAGCTAGTAATACTGGGGTCTTCACTAAACAGGTCCAATATTGGCAGGCTAGTTAGCTAAGAACTAGTCTGGAACCAAATTTGACCACCCTCTTAAATATTTATGTGAAAGATAAAGAGGGTCAGTACTTCGATTGGTTCAAGGTCTCTCTCTCTCTTAGGGGGACATCTTTTTTTTGGATTTTGAGAGGGAAAAAAGTAGGTCAATGGTATTTTGGTTTCCATTGACCAAGAATCTCATATTCTTTTTTCCAGATTAATGTGGGGACGAGGGAAAGTTTGTTTTCTTAAGTATCACACTATCACTTACCCGGGTTAGTGATACCCATCTTGTAGGTGGATAATTAAATAGCTTTCCCACCTGCGGGGAAAGTTTCCAACACCTGAATGGGATAAAAATGACTCTTTTAATAATGAATCTTTATGGCTAAAATAGCCATTTCCTTTTTTACTTGAAAAATAAAAGAATCTGGGTAAATACATTTACTTGGGTAAGTGTTTCCCAAGGAAAACTTACCCAGATAATTGTATTTACCCGGGTAAATAATTTACTGAAAAGTGAACGGGGTCTTAATGGCACATTCCTACAAGGAAAGACCATTAGCTATTAAACATTTACATACATTTAGTGAATAGACAACCATTCCAAGACTTGAGTTCATTTTGTTTTCCTTTATCTCTATTCTTTTCTACTACCAATTAGACATGGCAATTGGGTTGGGTGGGTTAGGTTCGGGTTGGGTCAAGACACTTTGGGTTGAATTTCGGGTTGGGTTATCGAATGCTAGACCCTAACCCTAAATGTTTGGGTTAGGATTGACCCATGGGTCGATTTGGGTCATCCTAAAAAATAAGTGAAATTAAAAAAAAATGAAAAAAAACTACAAGAAAATGCCAAAATTAAAGGAATTAACCTTAAAATTTTAAATATAAAATAAAAAAACTTGAACATTTAACAATTTAAAGAGTAAACAATAAAGAGTAAAGACTACATAGAAAAAAGTTAAAGAGTGGAAAATTCTAACAACGCATAAATAGTCCCAATTAGACTTGACAATCGGGTCAGCGGGCTGACCCATGACCCAACCCAACCCAACCCAGTTTTTTCGAATTGGGTTGGGCTGGTTCATTCTCACATTGAAGTAGTTAAATATGAGACTCTAGCCCTGTTTTTTCGAGTTGGGTTGAATCGGATTCGCAGATTGGATCAACTTTTTGCCAAATCTACTACTAATTAAGAAGAATCTTCTTAAGATGCTTTCTCAAATCATCATCACTATGATTATCATCCAAGGCTTGTCTTAAGTACATGGGGCCAACTACATGAATATAGTTTCATCATTTCTCAAATGAAATATAATATTCCGAAGAGCAGCATTGCATGGGAATTAGGATTTTAAAACAGAATAAGTGATGTTGGAGGAGGCACCGGATATATGGCACATACGAAGAATCTCTACACCATCATCATCATCGTGTATGTAGTAGTGGCTACATGGAGAAGAGTTCGCCTAGAGAAAAATCTGAATAGACCCACCAAAAGAAACCATCTCTCAGGAAAATATAATGAAAGAAAACTAGAAGGATTGGGACTGGTGCAAATTACTTTACTCTACTACTTGTCTTTTATTTTAATAATTAAGTAGTGAAGACATGATAATAATAATCAGATGGGTATCTTTGAGAAATAATTAGGCATGATTTAGTCATTTGATGAGCACTGGTCCATCTCATCATGTCCCCACTTGAGGCCTCCATGTCATTTCTTGTACAGAGAAAGCGAAACTAATATAAATATTTTATTTTCTTGGATAATTACGAGAAAGAAAAAGGCTGCATTTTCAGTTATTCATGGAAACTTTTGGGCCCAATAATTCAATTCAATCACCTGGACCAGAAGGCCAATCAAGCCGAGCCGAGAGGAGCCCTATAGGTGAGCCTGCCCTAAAGGAAAAGGAAAGGTAAGCTAAAGCTATCTATCCATCTAGTGTTTCAGTAAAGGTAGGAGCTGGAGAGCATATCTATGCGATATTGAAGTTTGGAATATACAAGAAAAAGAGAAGTAGTAGTAGTAGAAATAGAAGAAGCTAAGGAAGAAGAAGGAGAAGAAGAAAATGTCTTCTCTACAGGCTTTAAATCTTATCACGGTGTTCGATGTATCTATATATGTGTAAGTAGAAAATGATGAGATTCCAAGTGTGGGGAGTGCAGGTTGGTGGGGATTAAACAATAAAGGGAAAGCAAAGCTACAAATGAAAAAGAGTACACTCGTTTGACGTGAATCCACGCCCATGAGGCCAACCCACCCACCCACACAAAAGTCACCAACCCAAAAATATCTTTTTTTTTTTTTTTTTCTTTTCTCCCATCCGTATTGTTACTACTACTGCATCTACCCATACATAAATATTATATATGTTTGTCTAATTTCAGGGTTCCGAAAGGAAGATTTTTCTTTGCTTTCTTCAAAGAAAATTTAAATGCAAAAGAAGCGAGAGAGAGAGAGAGAGGGGGGGATCAATATAGAATGTCAACTCGAAGGCTTAAAAGCTCCCCAGTTTCCGAATTCCACTTTACTCCAAAAAGGAACCAACCCTAATTCCAATATAGTATATTTTTAAAGTGGGACTGTGGGATAGTTAATATTGCCTCAATTGGAGGGGAGCCATCCGGCCCATCCCCCATGTAGAATTGCTATGACCCATGGTCGCATGAATCTTCTGTAATAGCAAATCAGAACCCTTTGATCTACGTGTGGGCCCAAGCTAACTAAGAATACACGGGTGGGGTTATGATCAGTGTTATTAGGGGCTTAAAATTATGCTTATGAATGATTCAATATATTTTATCCTGATGATATATCGTGATCACACTGTCTCATTTTCTCCAGAAGGTAACCGAGTCGCTGTCTTCTGATTGGTGGTTACAGGCAAACCGGCAGCTGTGGTTACAGGTGATATTTGTACCTATACCCGTCAGTGTACGTTAACGATTTCAAATTTCCTGTAACCGGTTACACCGGAATCTCTTCTAAGTCTAAACACCAATCACAACCCTCAGGGGGGGGGGGTAGTTATATATTGGGTTGATTAGCTGAAGCTCAGTAGAGAACAGGGATCATCGTTATTTCGTTAAGTCAAAATTTGAGATCAAACCGAGTAGGAATCAATATATAAAATTGATTCGGAAATTCATCTGGTTATTTCCATTTTATAGAATTTTAACTTATCTTATTAATCAACACATAACCCACGAGTTGATCCGCGAGTTTCCCAGTTTAGTAGACTCGGTAGAGTTCTGAGTCAGAATTAAGATGAGGTATAATTTAAGGACTAAGGAGCAGTACGTTGCCTCTGCAGGGGTGAGAGTGCTGTGCTGTGGAGCGGGATCGAGTTAAGAGAGAGAGAGAGAGAGAGAGAGAGACGGTCACGGGTTTGTCTTGAAACTCCCCTCTCACAGTCGTAGACAGACAGACACATATTCTCGCACTACAAAACCGAGGAAAGAAACAACAACCGCATAACCCAACCTCCCTTAACCCTTCCCTTCTTTTACAACATATTTTTTCCCCCACTCCCACTCCCACGCACGCACACTTACCCATCAAGCCCCCCCCTCCCTCCCCTCCCAACTCTCTCTCTCTCTCTCTCTCTCCCGGTACCATCATCCTCTCTCACCCGCTCTATCTGCTTCCAAACTAACCTTCTCTTCTTTTACAGCTTTTTTTTTTGATCTTTTCTTTCTGCGTCATTCTTTGACGACAAGTAATTTCCACACCTCTTTCATGGCTCTTATGCTAGATAATTGTGAAGGCATCTTACTGTCGTTAGACTCTCACAAATCTGTACCAGCTCCCTTCCTCACCAAAACCTACCAACTCGTCGATGATCCCACCACCGATCATATCGTCTCTTGGGGCGAAGACGGCACCACTTTCGTCGTCTGGCGTCCTCCCGAGTTTGCTCGCGATCTCCTTCCTAACTACTTCAAGCACAACAATTTTTCTAGCTTCGTCCGTCAGCTAAACACCTACGTACGTTCCTCTCTCTCTCTCTCTCACACACACACAGAGGCACACACATGATGATAGTACTGTTCCGTCAACTAATCCTTGTTGTTGGTTGGTTTGTTTGATTTTATTGCAAAAATAGGGTTTCAGGAAGATTGTCCCGGACCGGTGGGAGTTCGCCAACGATTTTTTCAAGAAAGGAGAGAAACACTTGCTATGCGAAATCCATCGAAGAAAGACATCTCAACCCCAAGTGTCCATTAGCCATCACCATCATCCACATCACCACCCGCATTCGCCGATCGGTGCTGCTGGTGCTATTGGTGGCCCTGGTTTCTTCCCATTTCCGAGCCGGGTTAGCATCTCTCCTTCCGATTCAGATGAACAAACGAATTGGTGTGACTCATCACCGATGTCGTCTCCAAGAGGAGGAGCTTCAGTTTTTGGCGGCGGCGGCGGTGGTTGCGGGAACAACTCGGTGTCCGCACTTTCGGAAGATAACGAGAGACTGAGAAGGAGCAATTCCATGTTGATGTCCGAACTCGCACACATGAAGAAGCTCTATAATGATATTATCTACTTCGTGCAGAACCATGTGAGGCCCGTTGCTCCTAGTAATTCCTATCCTTCTTCTCTTGTCATCTGTAATCCTTCACCCACTCCTACACCTCCGATCACCAACCTTCCTGCAGCATCGATGGTGCAAAAGCCTTTTCACCAGCTGCTTGGGTTTTACCAGTCCAGCCCAAAGCAACCTTCCCATGTCAAGGATTCTTTCAACTCGTCTACTCCCTCAAATGCCTCTATAGCTGTGCTCGAAGAACCCAACGACAATGACGACGACAACAACCACAACAATAACAGTAATAGTCGAACGAAGCTGTTTGGTGTGTCTCTTCATTCCAAAAAGAGATTGCACCCGGAACAGACATCTCTTCCCACGAGTATGGACACCAACAAGGCTCGTTTTGTGTTGGCCAAGGATGATTTAGGGTTGAATCTTATGCCTCCCTCTCAATGTTAATTCCTTTGATGAACTCATTAATCAAGAGATTCAGCTACTCTTTACTTTTCCCTTGCTCTCTCTTGTTTGATTGTCATGTTCTTTCCTGGGCCCGAGAGTCTGACAGTTGATTGAGTGTGTAAGTGGGTGTTCTGTACATAAGTTTGATCCGGTATTTTGTTGTTCCCCAGCCATGAATGCAGGTTGGTTTTGATTAGAGTGAACAAAAATGCAAGTTATGTCATCCACATTATCTTTCTCGGTTTTTCTTTATTCTTCTTCTTGGGAGTGTCTTTATTTCTTGTCCTCTTTCTGATCTTCCAGTTTCATTAATGTAGTAGTAGAGACTTGAAAGACAAGACTAAGAGGGAGAAAGAGAAGAAAGAAAAAAAATTCTTCTTGAAGCTTCTCTTAGCGTATAAGTCCTACGGTGAAAAAGCTGGTGAAGTTTCAGGCTGGCTCATTGTCTGTTCTCTCTAGGGGTTTCTTTGCTTTGATCTAATTAATGGTGAATACGTACATCTAGCGAATACCTTCAAATGTGAGAAAAAAATGATAAATAAAAATAAAAAAAGAAAAGAAAAGAAGCTGACACCAAATGATAAATTCGTCCTGGAAATTTAATCGCTGATTCCTGCATGCCATTATTCTTATTATTATTACTACTATTATTGTCAAAAAAAGTATACTAAGTTTTAAGGGTATGGAAAAGGCTCTCATGCTGCATGATGGAGGTGGTGCTGATCTCTATTTCTCTCGTTTGGAATTTAGATAAACCGTCATTTTAGGCAAAGTAAGCTCGAGGCGAGAGAGAGAGAGAGAGAGAGGCTCGAAATATAAGGAAGGCTGACTGAATAAACCGTGGGTTAGTAGTCTTGACTCGTGAAACGTTTCCGTCAGAGGCGTCTCTAATTCTCACTCTGATCACGAAAACCTTTGCCTTTTCCAACTTTAGGTATCTGATGAAATCCTTCAAAACCTTCTTTGGATCCTGTCTCTGGTCTGCATCCTTTCACTTATTTCCAAGCTTCGTTTCCTTGAAAACGGAATACCAAAAATCAGAGAGAAAGAGAGAGAGGGAAAGTGCTTGACTGTTAGATAAGCAAAACCACTTTGCCCAAAGACCCGTCTCTTTTATTGCTTTGCTTGTCTCAATCCAACGCCCCTTAGAAGAAAAGTTTCATCTGAAGTTTGACTAGGCCATTTCAAGTGTTCTTGCTTTCTTTGACCCTTCTTTCTTTATTCCATTTCTTTGCTAGCTTTTGTTATTAAAACCAACTAGGAAGAGACTAGGAGATGGAAAAGGAAAAGAAAAGAAAGAAAATTCTGTATAAAGTGTTTTGAGGGGAAAAAAAAAGGGAGAGCGAGAGGATGGATGAACTCTCTGAGAAGGAGATCAGAAGGCCTTAAAAAGAAAAGCAAAAGAGGAATGGAAATAGAATATCTTTCGAACCCTAACAAACAATATTATATGTATACTATGTTCGTGCAATCATTTCTTTTGATACGAAAGACGAAAAAAATAAAAAATAAAACCCTAACCCTAGTTTGAAACCATATTCATACCCCAAGAGCACTAGTGCTCTACGCTTTGCCTTTTTACGGAGTGGTACTGGTATCGCACCACGTGAGTGTAAAATCAAAATGCGAGTGTGGGGGGGATATATCGTCTAATAAGAAGGACGTCTAACGGATGGAGAAAGGCAGGATATGGGCTTAAAGGCTTAAAGGCGACGCAGAGATGAGAGAAGGTAAAAAAAAAGCCCGTAAAGGTGCTTTAGGAAACGGCATGGTGTGTTTCCTACTTTGTTTCACGATCACACCCATCCTCACTAGTCACTACCTTCCATTCCATATTTCCATATATATGTGAATTAATTTTACAAGGGCATACCACTTACAAGTTACATACAACTAAGGCTGTGTTTGGTTGTGATGCAAATTTCATTTCATTTGCATTGCTGTAGATTCATGGGAGTGCAAAAGGACAGATGGAATGTACAAATTTTGACATAATTTTGCTTTAGATATAGTTTCTAGTTTTGTTTGTAATGTGATGAGAAATAAAAAGAAGCGAGCTCCACTTAAAATGAAAGAGAACAACGGAGGATGCCAGGAGGGTTATCAGCTTTTTAGGAGTAAGGTGAGATGGAAGATGATGTGGTCCCCACTTTGTATGAGATACAATTGAAGGAGGAAGGTGCTTGGTGCAAAATTTATATGACTAATGAGTGCAAAATAAGCAAAAGGTACAAATATTACATCAGGTATAGTAATAGTAATGCAAATCATAATTACGTACATAGAAATGAAAACATAATTGAACATTTGGACAGTTAAAATTTGCACTATAACCAAGCGCAGCCAGAAAGAAAGAAAGAAAGAAAAAAAAAAGAATCAAAGCAGAGAATCAAAAGAATCTTTTACACCCCTTTAATTTCTCTCCCTCCTCATCTTTTCAATGCATGGTTTCACACTCTTGCTTTTTAATCTGGTGACGAACAAAACTTTTATCTCCCATCCATAGATGTCCTTTTAAGCTTCCCACTTCATACCCTTTTATAGTTTAAAACAATTGAAGTTCTTTCAACCCAGTAAAACATGAGTTCTCAGACTCAATGTATCGCATCTTTTCCTAAAAAAGAGTTTGGTGAAATGGATCAAAGATCATACTACTTTTATACGTGAAGTCAATATACTTCCAAAGTTCAGAATCTAGAAATTTAACCCAAAATCTTAATTTTATATGATATTTCAATTTCTTATTTGTTTAACTTTTCAGTTTTATTTGATTTTTACTATTTATCTTCTTTCTTTAAAAAAAAAAACCAATGAAAAAGAGGGAAAAAAAAAAGAAAAGAAAGGGGGAATCCATCCACAAGTCAAAACCCCCTTAACCCTAGTTACAGTGGGATTTTGGTTGCATTTGGCATTCCTTATTTTATAGACTGTGTACTTTTTACAGTTAAAAACTCAGTGTTCATAGAAGCATTTTAAGAAATGCTAAATACAGCCTTAATCTATATCTCTGCTATAACTAGTCAGAAAACTTATGAACTGAACCACCAACCATCAATTGGCACATTACAAATTAAAATGGAGTAATGCTGTTCGTGTTTGGATTGAGGCATAAGAACAATTTCTGAATTTCATGTGATGTCTGCACTCAGCTTGAAAATTTTTGACAACGGAAAATAAGTAGAACAACAAAATTTTAGCCATATTTCCCATTGTGTTGATGGAAAATAGAATGAAGAGGGAGCTAGTCATGTGTAGATTCCACATGATGGTTTGATATGTGACCCCACCATTTGTGTTGATGGAAAATATATTTGCATTTTACCTCCGCTTTTACATCAATAAGAACATATATTACCTAAATTATGTGAATGGTATGTACGTACGGTATCCCATATATATACTGCGAAGTCAACTTCTCCTACAATAGATATTCCAAATGTGTGGCTAAGTGATAGTGTTTCAGGGTGCGTATGTGAATCCCCTGGTAAGTTCAGATCCCTTTAGGGTAATCCTTGACCTCTCTCCGTTGGTAATTAAAAAGAAATCTCATAATGGAAGAATTCATAAATTCACATTTTTAATCTCTCATTTTGTTAATAAAGAAAATAGTTTTCCTCAACCACAGAGAATTTGAGTTTTAAATTGTACTTAATAGCTTTCATGTTTATTCAATTGATAGTTTCACTTCAATTATGTCCAGTTAAAAAGCAATAATGATACAAATGATTGTTAATTTCAAGTGTTGAAATAAAACTTCACCATCAAAGAAGTGAATACATTGCATTAATTAGTAGCATGTGAAATAATTATTTTATAGCCATTTTTTATTTTGTTCTAAATAAGAAATTAATTAATCAAGAGTAACAATAAAAAAAAAAAGAAAGTAAAATTATATAACAAGAAATGACACTTCCATATTTATAATGTGAAGGAAAACAGCATTAATTCGTGATTCATTGAAAGAGAATAAGAAACGGCTGGAAGTAGTTTTTACCAAAGTAGGCTGAGTGAGTAAAAATAAATTAATTCTTCTCTTTTCTAGGGGTGGCAACGAGTTTAGCTTTTCACGAGCTGTTCGAGCTCGAGCCCAATTCATTGGCTCAATTATTAAATGAGCCAAGTTCGAACATAGTAGAGCTCGGCTCGAATATATATATATAATAAAAATATTATAATTACTAATTTTTTAAATATCAAATAAAAAATACTTTTATATATAATTATTTATTTTTATAAAATATTTTTTCTCAAAATTGAGCTCGAGCTTATGAATCTTTGAATCGAGCTGAGCTCGAGCTTGAGCCTGAACCTTGTAGAGCAGTCTTAAGCCGAGCTCGAGCCTAGTACTATTCGGCTTGGCTCGACTCGAATCTACCCCTACTCTTCATTTTTTTTTTGGAAGCATACTTCTTTACCCTTTCCRTTATCTAACTAGAATTACCACTTTCGATGAAATTTGTGCATCTATTGACTCATGTTGGTTATAGATAAATATTTTATCTTTTTTTTGGGGTGTTCATTATTGTGTTGGGGCTGGTTAGTGCATGGTTGTTACAATGTAACCAAAGTAACTCTCAACCTTTATTATTATTGTTGTTCTTGTCTCTTCCATCATAATAATGTTTATTAAGGGGGTCTTCGACAACTATTTTCTGACATGGCAACCCCTAAGAGTGCAATTGGGATTGACCCGAGTTAGCATTTTACACTTCTTTAGACATGGGCTTCAGCCTGTATCAATTCAAATTTTGATAAAATCTCAAAACGAGCTACCCAAGTTGCACTCTTGATTGTTACATTTAAAGTAGGGGTGACCAAAAAATATAAAAAAAATAAAACTAAAAAACCAAACTGACCAAAACCGAACTGAAAAATGGTTAACTGAACTGGTCAGTTCGGTGTTTTTAAAAAACCAAAGGTATCGGCTCGGTTTCGGTTAACCAATTTAAAAAACCGACAGTTAACCAAACCGACCGGTATACATGTTTTTCTATATATTTATGTATTATATATATATATATATTATAAATTAATAAATACACATTATATATATAAATATATTTATTTATTATTTAAAATATAATATTATATATATTTATAAATTTTTATTATGTATTTATATATTTTTATAATAAATATTATAAAGTAAAAAAAACAAAAAACCAGCGAACCAAACCGTCGGTTAACTGAGTGGTTTTGGTTCGGTTCCAATTAACGGTTTTCCAAAAACAGATACTA